GATCTCCACAGTCAAACCGCCAATACTAAGACAACTCCCAAGATAAATGAATTTTTCGATCACTTCCAGCGAATGCCCTGAAAGGGTGAAAGAAGGAGCTGCACTTGGCCAATTCTGTAACAGGACCTTACATTTGAAAGGGGCAAAGGTTACCCCACATTTTGGAGGCGGACATCTCCAGTCTAAGCAGCACATGCTGGGCGGTCTGGGAGGACTCGCAAATCAGAGCGATGTCATAAGTGCATTCCAAGTCCCGAAAGCAGCCATCAGTGTACAGCTCAACACCGCAGCACTCAGAGTTTTCATGGCAGTATCCGGGATCTCGTCCATGGCGAAGTTGAACAAGAATGGAAAGGCTGCGCAACCCTGTCTAACACCGCCAATGATACTGAAAAGAGGACGCGATGTCTCCGTATACTCGCACGCGGCCCGAAATTTGATGGTAAATGGCACGGAGAATACTGGTGTACTTCTCAGGTATTCCCTCTTCATTAAGTAGCTCCAAAGAGCCACGTTGTCAACAGAGTTAAAGACGGCTCGAATGTCCAGGAATATGACCATAGTTGGTCGACTGAATGTATGGCTATGTTCAAGTAGATAGCGGATCATAAAGATGAGATCGACGCAACCGCGACCCTGCGAAATCCAGCCTGTTATCCACGCAGTTACTGTTCCCGTTCGCTACTGTGCCTCCTCAAGAGTAGAGCAGCGAGCAGTTTGGATGCGACTCCAATGAGACTGACCCTATGATGGTTGAAACAAACGGTCCTGTCTCCTTGTTAGAAAACAGGTTCAACATCCGCTAAATTCCAGTCGAATGGAACGATTTCAGTAGTCCAAGTTTGATGGGAGAATGTCAGTTCTCCAGTGAGAGCAGGACTCCCATATCTGAGAAGGGCAGGAGGAATATCTTCTGGACCAGGTGAGTCGTGGTGCTTCAGTAAGCGAAGCTCCTAGGGAGCCTTAGCCTCAGTCGGTGGAGTAACCTCAACGCACCACGGAACACTGTAAACCCCGGAAGATGAGCTCGGTTACGCTGGTGGCCAGTGCTCTGCCCATCGTAGAAGACGACGGTGCATGTTGTGAACTAGTTCGTTGCCAGTTTCACGCAGAACCACCTTCAGTTGGTGCGGCATAGTAGCTGAGGTGTTCCCCCAACTCTAGATAACGTGTAGTATGATGACGATAATGAACTTCAGTTGGCCTTCTTCCTCCCATGAGCCGAATAAGTTGGAAGAGTTTGCGGGAGTTTCTTGATAAGACTGCCCGCTCCATCGCAACGACGCATTGTGTCCACCAAAGCTCGCGATCCTTCCTGTGGAGCTGTCTGAGATTAGCACGCTTGGTTCTGCGTAGTGCATCGTACTCAATTCCGGCGGGAGTTGTTCGATGACTTTCCATTAATTGGAGAGACTGTGTAGTGATCCATTGAGTAGCAGCTCATCTGGTAAAGCCACAGACCAGGGTAGCGGACTTTCGTAAGGCGCTCTGAACCGGTGCCCAGTGTGTCTCATAGTCGGAGGATAGAGAATGCAGGTCAGAGGTTAATGTGTTCTGAAACGCGCCGAGAACATTTGGAGCTGCAAGCATGTCTATGGCAAGCCGTTTCCCGCGATGCTGTTGGCTCCCTCCAAAGCGCAGAACGACCTTAGCACACATGAGCGCACGATCAGAAGTCACTTTGGTGTTCTAGATTAACGTGCAGTCCGTTTTGCAGCTTGGCCAACGGCAACTAACGGCGATATGATAAATCTGCATCCAAGCTTGACCAGGCGCCAGAGGCCGTCAGGTGGCTTGTTGGCGCCATGAACGTCGGAAATTGGTGCTAGGAAGGAACAAGCCGTGGTCAGCACACACTTGCAGGTGTCGATCACCGTTGTCCATCCTGCGAGTACGACGACTGTGTTGACCCCCAAGTTCGCGCTCATGAACATCTAGTCTACCGACCTGCGCATCTAGGTCTCCGGAGATTATCACCATTTCCGTGCGGCTTTTATTGCGACTGGTCGATGAGTTAGCGGTAGGACTCCTCTTTAGCTTCGTCCGGGCTGCAGTCCATAGGAGCGTACGCCACCACAATAAAGAAGCAGCGCTTACTGGTCCTGTGGCTGAAAGATCGCACTGAGCTTTCCGAGCGTATTGCACAAAATGGGCTGTTGACTGGGAACCAGTCAACGAGCGCTGCCTCAGGACGCGCCCTTAACGCAACTTATACACGGGCACAACCAGTGGCTGCCTCCGTCGCATCTCCAGATAAGCGCAAGCTGAATGTGCAATTGGAACTTGGGGTGGTGAGAGCAATCGCAGCGTTGTACTAGGGTCCTCTAAACGGATTTCGGTTAGGTAGCAAACGTCGATGTAGAGAGTTTCCAAGGTGCGCGCAAGAGCAGCTTGTGATCCAATCTGCATGAGCGTTTGAACCTTGAACGGGGTGCAATAAGTGCCTTGCTGTTGGTGTTGGAATGTGTGCGATCGGTGTTGAGTGGTTCATTGATAAGGCCGGTGTCACTTAACATATATTTATTAATCGCACTGACTTAAGTAGAGCGGAGCGAAAGTTGTTGGTCGCCTGACTGAAGCTAATTCACAAAGTGGCCTAATTTGTTTGTAGCTGCTACACACGATGATTGGATGGGACAAACGAAAGCTTGTTAGATAGCTGAGAAATTCCTCTATTGAGCGAGGTCTAACCGAGATAATATTGGTAACTGCGCAATATTGTACTTACGAATAACGGGGAAATTGTCCAATTTTGTAACTTAATAGCCACAATCTTTGCTGAAATTATTCCCCAAGGAAATGTTTCGATGGAGCGCGTCGAACCGCGATGAAAAATTGTACATTCAGTGACGTGATTATGTGTTGCGAAGTAGATCCAAAAAACCAAGAGGGTAAAATGATGCAACCGTCAGATCCCACTGCTTCCTTTGGATGCTTTCCGATCGCACAGTTCATATGCTGCAGTTGTTGTATTCCTTTTTTAGTATCCTACTTTGCTTTGAGATTGAAAACTCTAAGTGTTCACGGCACTTAGTAGCCTATTTTTCGTGACCCTTGAGCTTGCTCCGCTCACTCTTATTGATGCACATCCAGTCCCCGCCTGATAACATGAAAAGGACACTATACTTACCCCTTCCGGAGAATTGTTTATCATGTCTCACTGCATGCGTGCTCGCTACCCACACCTTGAAACATGGTTCTGCGCACACGATCTTCCAGCCCTGTTGGCACCTGCCCTCTGTTCGACTTACAACTTCTCGGAGACCAAGTAAAACGAATCGGGCTACACCGTTGGAACACTACTGCCAAACCCTTATAACCACATATAATTTAACGAAAGGCGTCGTGGAGTGCAGGATGGGTGAGGGCAACATTGCAACCCGATACCGTCCCACTGATCGGAATGGCACAGGCTGCTTTCAGGTAATCTAAGCCACGACAGCGGGTACTGCAAAACCCGAAGATCAGCTCCTAACTGCTGTGTCAAACTCTGCTCGCGAAGCTCAATGGCGGCCAACCATTATATGCCGAGTTCCACTCCCAAATCAGGATATCACTGCCTGCTGAGTCCAAACCAGTACGAAACGTGTCTTAGAGTGCAGGAAGGCGAGTGAGCAACACCAAAACCTTTCAAACTATAGGCACTTCACTCAAACTATCACACTCAATCTTTGCAGAATTGTTGCACAACTGTATGCGCGGTTTCGCTAAGAGGGTGCTTGCCATATTCACCTCCCAGTGCATGTACCAAAGCCGCTTCCCCCATGCTCTGCGGATTTCCAGTGGTGTTCTATTTTCGCGACGCATGGATTTAACTTCATCACACCTGTGATGACATTTGCGGATCGCGCACCATCTTTGCTGATATCTCTATTGTAGTAACTTGCTGCAACGCCGGTTCTCCATCATTACTACCATCGCAATTACTTGCCACTATCCTTTTCGGATGTATCAATTTAGACTAATCCATTGAATGTATCCGATGGCATTCCTATCTAAAGGGTCGAATCATAATTAGGCTTGGTGAGACTTAACGTTTCCTTTTTTGCACCTGCTTAATGTTAATGGAGTTGTATTAGCCTGAGTTATGTCCTCATTTTATCTCAGGCCCATGATTTTGCCACATTTCACTTGAAATCGACAGCTAAAATTTGTCACCCACACCCTGAAGTTGTCCAACGCATTATCAACCTGGCCGCAACGCCTTGTACGTGCGTCTCATTGACTGAATTCCCATTTATCCGAACTCGGGACTCTTCCAATGGGACAGCTTCCCCCATGGCTTCTCACTGGGACATGGTCTATGGTCATCATCCCATGGCCCGTAGCCTAAAGGTAACAAGCTTGTCTTGTAATCTGACACCGCGGGTTCAAGCCTGCATAGGGGCAGGGAAGTCCTCGCAGTATCCTTAGTCCACGTACGACCGGTGGTGGTTGCGCTGCAGCGACACGTCGGTACTAGGTACCGGCGTACTGCGGATGCATTCATCCCATAGGTCCCCAACGTGACACGCAAGAGCTAGTCAGTCAGTTGGACCCTTTGGATGATTACAATCCCTCAGCAGTCAACTAAGTGCTTCCATCGTGCTAGCTGCACATGATCCGTAGGTACGATGCTAGATAATATTCTGAGTTCTCACTTGTATTCTATTTACTGCCAATTTTCCTGTCGATGTTTACAGTGCAATGGTACATCTTGAGACAAGATGTAAAATGTCATATGGTGCAGCTTTAACATCACGGGTCTTTTCTAAAAGGTTCGCATTTCCACATCGTATTCTCTTGCTCGAACCATGAGGCTCGGTTTCTCCCGGCTCCCAAGTGTTAACGTGGGTGCTAGTGGGAAACAACAACTGACTAACCCATGTCCCACCCACAAACAAACCCCCTTTGTCCGGTGCAACGTCGACTGGGTACCTTCTACAGGACATTCAATAACGTTATCATTGCTTGTTGGCTTTGACTGTATATTCATCTACTTTCTCATTTTTGTCTGCCAGATGATGGTTCAACGTGTTCTTTCTGCAAAGAACTTATCGCATGCTCAGGGCGCTACCCTAATGACTGGATTGATCAAACTGCTACCATTATTTATAATGGTCATACCCGGCATGATTAGCCGTATACTTTTTCCAGGTAAGACGTTTGCTACCACTCAAGTCTCTTTTCTGCTCAATGGATGCCGCTTCCAGAGAAGATAGCACACTAACGTGAATCATATGCAGTACACCGGGCTGTAACTTATTATTAACGAAGCTAAGTGGTAACGGAAGTCGCCTCACCTAACTATCAATCTCAGCTAACAAATTGCAAATCGCATGATTCGCACAAAAATGTTACCATAATGTTCTACCTGTGTCTCTCCATAATTGCTTTATCTTTCTCGTGATGACGTAAGTTATCTCACTGTTCATTTGCTGCTTATTTCTTCTAGAATTTGTGCACCTATCCCAGCCGCTTTTCCTCTTCAAACGGTTGACATTGTCAATTGCTTTGGGTAGATGCGAATGTTACTGGGACACTTAATGAAAATCCTATTGGCAGACTCCCAACAATATTTCCCCAGATGAAAGCCGTCGAGTGTCGATGCAATTTTTATACTCTTCGCGATATACCAGCATTAGTGCCCTAGGGGTTTGAACTCTTATCTTCTGATACTGTTCGGAAACCCTAAGGATTTGCTTGTGTAACATTGAGACTGGCCAGCGAAAGAGAGAACTTTTACACAGATAGGAATAGTCATCCCTATTACTAACTGGTGGACTATGACAAGACAGGTTGCTTGCTCCAGCTAATCTGAGCTCATTAACTCACGCATACATGCAATGCGGATAGTACGAAAATTTTGCGCAGCAACGGAATCAACCGGATCCGGGATTGCTGCATCATCTACCTCAGGGTTACTCTGGCCGGTTCTATGTGAGGATAAAGTTGCATTTGTAATAAGCCTCCCTTGTTAGTTTCGCATTTGCTGATCAATTCTAAAGCAGACAACGCCACGATGGTAGAAAAATACACGTGATGCGCTGTAGTTTAGGTTGCACCGGTGTTGTGCTGCCTCTTTTTAAATGAGCCACATCGACTATCCGTTCCGGGGCCGTTTGTCGATGGCTACCACAATAGCGCGTTGTGGTGTTAGTCTCCGCCCACGCAGGGCATACTCCACTCCACTCTGTGAATAAACTGCGGGAATCCGAAGCGCTGAGTAGGTCCACCACGGCTGGAGAATGTTATTAATTCACCAACCTACCGCGTGCACTCTCTGCCTCTGACGTGCAAATAATTATCGCCTCCTTTCATTCTTGACTACTCCGTCAACATTGAGCATGATGCACATGTTTGGTTGTTCTTCGATTGAAGGACGTTCGGAATTTTCCACTCAAAATAATTGTGCATCACAGCCACGCGTGAACGTGTAGGAATAAGCGTGATTCGGAGTACTCGCGGCGAAAGTGTTTCGTTAGCCTAGCAACCGTCAGTTCTCGTGAGATAGTGTTAATTTGAATCCGCCTAGAGAGATGCAAACATTTGTCGCTTACTTGAACATGATACATCACATACGAAACCATACCAATGCACACTAGAAATCTAAGCAATCCCTGATTTCTGATGAGGTAACTTGTTGGCAGGACCAGTCAAACAGCATGGCATACACACCATTTACTCCGAAGCCTAACATTGGATTCGTAAGTGTTGTGCCAGCCGTCACGCTCCTATCCTAGTTACCCTATTTTAAAGTATCCACCTTGTCCGTGGTTCGATTTCCGCCCCCGCTGCCTAGTTGGGGTGTGCAAAAACAGAGGAAACTGATCATGGGCTGGTGTGTTTGGAGCTCACAGAAACGGTAGTGTTTCTACTACCGTGTATCAGTGTTCCAGTACTTAGAAAGGCCGAAGATTGTCCTTGCGTGACTCGGGGCCCAAAGTGAAGTTGCATGTCGTAGTCAAGAACACAATGTGGATGCCACAAATGCTAGAACAGTATGTTCGTCTCCATGCATTACCGCTAGTTCAGCCTGTCAACGAGGTCTTTGGTCTTCATAATCAGCATAATATTCCCTACTTTCCCCTGTGTTTCCATTATTATTAACGCAACCGACGAGGTATGCAGCTCCATTGACCATTTAGAGCTCCTGGTATCAGGGTCCCAGCAGTCCCGGAGTAACTTTGGATCATGTGCCCTTTGCGGATTATCTTAGTTTTTTCGTAGGGTGCCCTAGCCTTTGCGCTTGTAACACCTCACTCTGTCACACAGTGCTAGTGGATAGTGTGAAACTGGTGACGGATACACTCCAGTCATCCCCTCGAGACTCTGTGGGTCGGCGATTTAGTAGGTCTCCCAATGAACCACGAAGCAGCCACCAAACGAACAGTGTAAACTGACACCTATTAAGAGTAACAAATAGATTCTTTGAACAGGTACATTGGCAGTCAATTATTTTTGACTGGATGCACAATTTGCTGGAGCCGTGGGGCCCCAAGTCACAGTTTGTTCGTGGTTGATAGCGCCCATAAACAGTTAATAACTGGCGTAGGAACTCTCCTTGTTTGTTTTAGTGGACCACGCCAGTCAATAAATTTTATTGCGTTTCCTAATGACTTTTTGCACTTTCACAGCACTTCATTTATCTACCTATTGAGGATGACTCTGGCGCGGCGTACTATATCACCTGCGGTGACCTGTGATTGTCGATTGCCCGCCACTTAATCCCAATCAAAACGCATTGGATCCATCCACACTTTTGTCGTTGTTGTGATTCATTTCCACTAAGTTTATTAACCTACGTCGTTTAGATGAAATTGCATGCATTCCCGGGGACCACTGCCTTCGTGTTTGTGGGCAGCGCAGTGGATGTACGAATCTGGCCTACCCAAAACTTGTACTGGAAGTCATGCCTACAGGTGAGTTGGAAGGAGCTGCGCTGGTATTCCCAAGATACATTTGCGATGTTCTTTGTATGCTATATGTTTAATTAGTATCCAAGAATGATTGCACAGTTTCGGCTGCTTTCTTGCGCATTTAGCTTACGCACCTTCATGGATTTTTTGAGCAAGTGGGACTATTGATGTTCACACAACGTACGAATCGCGTACGCGATCACAGCAGCCGAGAACCTACGCACACTGCTACCGCGTTCTTGGTTGAAAGGCAGGCGCTTTCTAATTTACCTTATAGAATCCACCGCAGCTCAATTCATCTATTGAACCATGGATTGAGTACCGAAGACCAGCACGTTCGGTATCTTTAATTGGCATCACTAATATAAGTAAGAAAAACTGGGGCATGAGTGGACACACATCGAACCGTAGTGGTCGATGTTGTTAACAAGCAGAGTAGAGTATGCCGTTGGCAAGTTAAAAATTCCTGGTAACGTGCGTCATGATATAAAATGCCGCATTTATTCTCCGCTGCTTAGTGATCGGCTATACAAATCACCTAACGACACGCATTCTGCACATAAGAGCCAATAGGGACGACGATGAGAAATTGCCGCAGCTTGAGCTCATGACTCAAGTGATCACAAGGCACTACAAATCTTCTAACACCACCTCAAAGGCCCTATGTGGGCCGTAGTACTGAACCATCTGCTTCAAATTAACCGCACGCTCACGAGCGAAGTACTTTGATGTTAAAACTGCACAAAATCCTAGTTACTCAGTGATTTGCACGGTTGTAGTTCAGTAAAAATGTTTACCATCGGGAATAGTTCCATTGAACTCATTAAGAGAAATGCCATTCTGTTTCTTTTAGTGTGCAGCTGTATCAAACTCACGCTTGTTTTAGATCGTACTTTTTTAAACTACCATTCATGTACCCGTTGACAGGGTTGCGCGGTCTTATGCTATCCGTCATGCTGGCAGCGCTTATCTCCGATATGACCTCGATTTTCAACTCAGCGAGCACGTTATTCGCAGTCGATGTGTACAAACAATTCCGAAAACGTGCCGGCGAAGGCGAACTCATGTTGGCTGGAAGGTAATCGGATTATATTTTGTTTGTGTATTTAATCCATGGCGATTGCATGCTGTGACTGAACTACTCTGGCCGACCAGATTTCTTGACATCCACACCTCCATACTCAATTGCTTTGTGTTCAATTGTGATGAAGTATTTTTCTACTGATTGTTTACCGATCAAACGGGTCGTGAATGCGTCGATTAGATTGTGCTTAAATTTTCTGTCTAAACATTGTGCGCAATGCCCTCAATGAAACAATGAAACCGATCAACTGCGTGGCGTACATATTTACCGTATATCCTCTGAAGCAGTAGATTTTACGCTGTCAGCAATCAATCAGATTCATCCTAGTCATCACTCACAAGTTCGGTACTATGCGTCCGAAAACACACAAAGCATTTTAACCGTTTTGTCATCCCGTTAGCTATATCCGGTTCTTGCGATATACAGAAGGTGATTCTTCGTCTTAAAGCTTGCTTAGGCTTGTTTGTCGAAATTGATGCTGCAGCGCTCACATCCCTGTTGTCGTCACAATTGCACGCTGGATCCTACTCCGTACAAATCGGCACAGGGTCCACCCGCCATGTGTTCTCGTGTCACACATGCTCATAGATATTTAAACGCTGTTCGGACTGCGATATGAGACAGGATACCACGATATTTCTCCATTACTGGCCACCTCACAATTTGTTCCTTTCCGGTAAGGGAACGCTAATCACTCACGCCTAATACAAGTCATGCTAGGACTATCAGCCTATCTGTACATCTATAAGACTGCGCCGCAATGAGACTCAGGTCAGTGTACTGACGATTTGCCCACTAACTTGGCAATCGGTCGGCATCATCCTATATCCTTCCCCTACGGTTGCCAAAAGGAAACACTGCTTCAAACTGTGCCTTTTTAATGGACTTGTCCTTCAGCTGTGAATAATGTTTGTCCATGACAGCCATTGTCCAGTTGTTCCTTAAAAATGTACTTTACTAATGAATACTACAAAACTCCCACGGTCAAGCAACATGAATTGAGCCGTTTTCACTGCTCTACGGCCTATCAGACTGAGTAACCCAATGTTGACTGTAACTTATTAGGGTGTAAGGTTGACATATTGTTGTGCGGGCTGGCTTTATTAACTAAAAGATACCCAGTCCAAACTTCTCCCCAATCTTACTATGTAAAGCTCGCAAATAACGGCACAGATTGCTTTGAAGCTTCTGTTCAATAACAGTGTAGCTACTGTCTGCTGCTAACTAGTTCGGCACATTATTTACTTGGGCACAATCTGGAAGTAGGAGTTCATTAGTTTCAACAGCTTCCACTCAGGTAATCATGAAATAATTAATCTGCGACGGAGGCAAAATAAGATGAGATATCCCGAAGTCGGTGGAACAGGTATTGAATGAATTAAAATCCATTGGTACACAGGTTAACAACTAGGGATGACTGGTCCATCGCACGGGTACCACAAACTTGCCCAATGTATTACGTCAGACACGGCATCCAACAGGAAAGTACCTGATCCCTATCACCCACCGGAGAGGTGGCACGTATCTTCCCGACTCAGCGTTTTGTCAAATTTCTTTATGCTTGTTTGCTGCGTCCTCAGTTAGCTTCTATTAGCCCTCGCAGTGTTCACAACTAATAGACGCCAGGATGGCCATGTTAGATCGGAGTGGATGAACAGGAAACCAGCTGAAAAGGCTTTCATTGAGACATGATGTAAGGCTCAGAAACTTTACATCCCTTCAGGAATCCCAATAACACACAAGATATGCAATAGACTAATCGAAGATTCCTTGAAAACGAAAGTTTTCCATGTGCCCACAACAGTGTTTCCCCTAAGCAGCAGGATGCGGAAATACATGGCAAGTGTTTACCTTCCCCCAACACACGATGCTTGGGATGCCCACGTAACCAATCGTAGATATTGCACCCAACTTCTACCCGAAGACAAACTAACATAGCGGTAGTATATGACGATATCCTCATTGCCACTCATGAGATACGGTATAAACACGTTAATTAACTTCGTAGGATGTGGCAGAGATTCCATCCGCTCCGCCCGGCTTATGGCCTAACATGAACGGACACAGAGCAGCCCAACGATCGGTATGTGTTATATGACACTACATTTCAATGGGTTTTGTCTTGCGATCTTCCTGTTTCCGTTGACGCTTTGCTCGGACTTCGCTGCCTCTGTTTTACCGCCATAGCTGTTATTCCGAGGACTAATGTCTCTGTGAAACCTTAGCCCTCCGTGATTGATACCCTATACCGGAAGGCACTGGGAACCTATAGCCATGAAACTGGCTCAGTTCTCTAAGCAGTGCTTAGATCAGAAACAAGTTCCCATCACTTAAAATCAAATAACAACTATGATCAACAGAGGACGAAGCAGGGATACATATCTAAATGACCGTCCAATTTATCTTTCTTCGATATCGTCCATTTCATGGAATCTATCATTGCAGTGGCGTTGATGTCCCCTGGCAAACTGCATCCCTATTGTCATCGATTGCTACAGCTTCAGCCGACAACGGTCGGGCATCACTACTTTGCTAATAGCGCGGTGTAGTTAGGCTAAATCAACTGATAATAGAGTGGACTACAATGGGGTCAACCTGCACCACCCGATAGCACCGGAGCGTCTGGGGCATCGAATCCTCAATTTCAAACTCCAATTTTACTGTATCTGATACACTGTTAGATTGAATCACTAACTTCCTACTTCGACGACAATTGGCGATTAGAGCTCGAACCTCTCTATCTGACCGCCTACGTTTAGAATGTGGTGTATCCTAAGGCCACATTGGTTTTAGTATTTGCTAATGACCGAGCATAATATCACTCCGAATTCTCCTGCCTTTTGTTGATGATATAGTTATCAAGGTGGATTGAGAAATTGGTCGATCACTAACTGCATCAGCGTGTTCTAAACAGGGTACATCAAATCACAGCCCGAGAGCTACTGCAGTTCAGTGCGAACAGATGCAAGGTAATCCTCATATGACACCAGAGTACCTATTCCTTCAGGTTCAACACACATGCCCTGCATGTATCTTCTGTTGAATGTGATCAAACTCTCCTAGTTTCAGGGTGACTCGGCTCCTTCCAAATAATCCGAAAAGATATTTAAGGCGGGACTGTTATGGAGAATGTTCAGGCACAGATGTCTGTAATTTCCGTTAACACCTCAGTGCCTGTGTTCGTCCTCATGTTAAATATGGAATTCAAATCTGGCGGCCATGCTTAACGCACGAGCTCGCCGCTCTAGAGCAAGCCTCAAGGTCATTGGAACAGCCCCTCTCTCATACGATCAGAGGTTGAAATGCTTGGGATTATTCAGTGGACGAAAACCTCGATTACGAGGTCACCTAATAATGAATTACCAAGTCCTGTACAATCCAAACCATTTGTGCCTCTCGTTGACGGAGCTGGACGGTAACGCAGACGCAAAAAGCCGCTGTCTGAAACTGTCGGAACAATACACCCAGTTGGAATGCTGCGGAAATTTCGCTTATGTTCGTGCATGCCATTTCTGGAGTGCACTCCTCGCAGCCGTCGTTACCGCATCGACACTAGTCGCATTTAAAAGGCGGTTAGGTGACGCAGTCATCTATATTTCACCGCTTGGTACTATTACTCCATTCTCCTTCCAGGACCAAAACCTCGGCTTTACTAGCCTTCACCTCATACTGTGGAACAACACGGAGAACAAAACTAGTGCTTGACAAACGCGCAGTAGGAAGTTTGGTTTCTAGTTAGAAAAATACATGCTTCCTTCTATTGAAACCTTTCTGGAAACGGCCACCAGCTTAGTTAACAGAAGTTGAATATACATGTTCCATGACCCCTATTGCGCGATGGTTCCTTTCCCATCGTTCACATTTCTGAAGTTTCTGATTGTCTGATTGAGTTGACTCAGTTTTAAGGTCCACCTCTGTGCCGGAATCACCCCTAAGCGGTGTCATAATAAGGTGACGGAATAGTCAGAATGATTCTTATGTGGTGTGGCCTATACTTTAAACAATTTTAATGATATTATGGAGAATGTATTACCATTTGAACCCACACGTCTCTCTGGTACGAAACAGCCCACATTGGATGAAATACTAGCTGAGCGAGATGGACAGTTTAGCCACTTGCAACTGTCCACTCAGCCTGACAAAGCATTTGTATACACCAGCCGGTTGTTTTTGAACTCTCCTGAAATCATGCGTTCTCGATCAGCTCTAAGCACTTTTCAAGATTTGAAACGTGAAATTCCTCTAAGGATTTCAAATAAGAATATCGGAAGACGAAGGCGGTGGGATGACACCGCCATTTCGTACATACGCGTCGGCCACGTACATGAAACTAACAGGGGATTCACAAGAATGCCACCTAAAATCACTTATCGGTTAACCGTTTTCCCATAAGTTTGCTCAGTGAAGACTCCTGTGTCGAGGCAGTGCACATCCCCCTGCCTATACAAAATCACAAGTAGTTGTGAAACAGCTATGTTTGATTCACTAATCGAACTCTAGGTGTCCGAATCGTTGGACATATTCCATAGTGGTTCCGCAAACGTATGGAACATGCGACGGTTGTACCGGGTGAATCAAGAAACAAAGTTACCGCAATTACGATGTATTTGATGAGCCCCGGTCACCAGGTAAACTAGATGCGTCATCCACATCCCACATGCTCAATCAAAGGCCTCACATTCTCAAGCTCCTCGAGACCATTGCTATCGGTCGATAGCGCCCACCACTATGTCCAAAAGCAGCTGACAGCGACACTAAGCCTACCGTGGTAGCGTGCCGCGAAGCAATCGAGGAACGGTTGGCCGCTCAGTGATTTCATGTGACCTTGTTTTGAATCCTTTGTTAGTTTCAAGTACGTGGCCGACGAACGCGCACGAAATGACAGTGTCATCCCACAACCTTCATTTACTAATATTCCATAGTGAATGGGGTATTACAAGAAGCTTTTCAGTCACCTACTTCGTCGTCATCCTCCACCAAGGCAACTGAAACTAACCAGCACTATGGAGTCGCAGTTCTGATCATTAATGTGAGAGCATAGAACTGACTTACTAAGACATAACGAAAGCCTAACTCCGACGACATTCCTACATATTTACCAAACGGCTGTGTTCGCTCTCTGAAGGCTCGTTTATCAGCCTTACTTTGTACTAATACATGCACGAAAAGTGCCTTCAACTGTCGTTCCACTATTCGAAGTAGAACATAAAACTTGTACCAAAATGTATTGATTTGTCGGTCTAGTAAGCATTAGCTCCAAATGACTCACAAAAAGCACTAATCTACTTGTGGGTTCTCTAGCAGTTTCCTAGCCCATGTGCAACCGTGACTGAATCATCAAACCTCAGCCTCAATCTGCATCTGTCATCGCGCAGTTTCAAAGGGGTCGCTTTATCTGGTAATTCAACAAGCGAGGTAAACGTGCACTACTGCAGAGTCCTCTATTCTTTCCTCTCCACCAACGGTTGCTCTCATCCCGGTCTCTAACGCTCATCATCCTTCTATAGAACTCTTCGCGCGCGAAAATAGCTGCAGTTGTACGTAAGTTTTAACATATGTATTCATGTCATCCTAATGCCTTTCGTAGTCAAGAAGCAGTTATCAAACCACGGCACATTGGTTCTCTGACAGTGCTCAACTTTCCTATTTGAAAGCAGACAGGTCAACATGTTGCTTTTGTGCGCTCACTTAATGCCCTTCGTGGTGAAGTGCACTGCGTGTCGGAAACTAGAATGTATGACTCCCACGCGGTAGTCTAATCAAACACATCCGGTATTCGCTCTTCCATTAGCATTGTGCCACGAGCTACGTCGATGCAGCGGCCGCAAGTAGAACTGCAGTTATCACCTGATTTTTTTAACTAGTGCATGTCCGAAGTTGCATGTAAATTCCCAGGGTGACTGGTTACCTGTGGTAAAGCGGGATATTTCTTGTCAACAGGATTATGTAAGGCAAGCAATACAACACTGGTCTCATTAGTTACTTCGAATTTCGCCAACGCCGTTTATTGGTTAGCTTCCGGCCACTGTCCCCTTTAAATTCTTGTGTAAGCTAATAGATTATGTCTGGACTTTGATAGTTGTCCTCACTGTTACCCCATCGTTTACGGGATTCGAAGTCACTATGTCAACGGGATCCCCATAGTGCATTATCAAAACAATATGTGGGAATGCTTCCGAATCGTATACACACTATGAACCACTAAAATAACACTAATCTACTTGTAATCTCAATTCGATGTTTACTCCTACCATTCCTCCTGGTGACTTACGTGTAACACCGTTTTCAGATTGACCATTATTTTTCTTCCGAGACAGAAACGGTTACTTGCTTTTTCAGGCTGTTTGTGGTCTTCTTGGTCGTGGTCAGCGTTGCATGGATCCCCGTAGTGCAGGAGCTACAGGGAAGTCAACTGTATGTTTATATCCAGTCTGTAAGTAACTATCTCGCCCCGCCAGTTGCAGCCGTATACCTGCTTGCGGTGTTGTGGCCCCGTTGCAACGAATTAGTAAGTTCACGATTGAACCAGTAACGCTACAATAATCACTGTTATTTGCTCTGTATGGTTGTAAATTTGCCAAAACAAGCCATCCAATAATTATCGCTGAATGACATGGATGTCATAAACCGATGGTAAGTCACTCCCTGTGGTACCTCTTACTATCACTCACTAAGGTAGATTGGGGAGTACTCGTTCTCTATACATTGGTTATGATAGCGCAGTTGAGATTCGTGTCAGACTACATGGATCGGCTCTTTTTAACTTGAATTCGGCTAGCGTCATTGGAGATAGAAATTGATACTTGGATGGTTCACCAAGACTATGCTTGAGAAACACGAAGTCACTGATTCGGCCGATAATGCTTTGGCTTCTTCGATGGATAATTTACCTTGGGGTTAGGTATAAACCCCATGGATTTCTACATGCGCCTTTTACACTCTGCTAATGATCACTCTACTAAGGTTCCATTGATAGTGAAAATTACCCATGCTCTGATTCAGCTTGTGTGTTTTATATCTTTCAATGAAAATACTTCGCCACCGTTGACTATTTTGTCAAGCCATGTCTGCACACATCTTTGCGCATTATTTTTTCTCCTTTAGTTGCCGTAATATAAAACCATGAATGGGTTTAGTTTGACTCCCCACCGAGTGACTGTTACCCTACGGTACACTGAATCTTACGTACCATTCAACTTCCGAGAGAAAGTGACTATTTGGGAACTCTCGCATTATCACTAGCTTTGCTCCCCAGTCATTCACGTGAAGTGCACCACAGCTTCGTTGTTGGTACGGCTGACAACCATTTGATGGAACATCATCAATCGCAGCAATTCTTATGCAGCACTGCACTGACACCGGACTGTCCCATGCTTCATCGTATGATTGGAATCCTCCCAGCATGAAAGACAGCTAACGAAACTGGAGCTGATTTGCATGCGAATGATCCTGTGCACACCACTCAAGGATCTGCATAGAGTCCACACTGTGCTAACTTCCTTTGCAGTCGTCCCTAAGTACACCCTAACAATGAAGATGAGCAGAGGTATTTGAGTTTAGAACCCCTCAACACTTACTTAGGACATCGCGATTGTTTAAGTGTATGTGTGCCCAGGGTTTGTCTGCTGGAATCGCAAACGATTGGTATGACGCAACATGATTCAGACCGCCATGCAAAATGTACGTTTCATGAACAGCTCAGTTTTCCGCCAAAATATGTGTTCTTCCCCACTTGCCATTGCGTTGAATTCCTTCCGTTATTTGCCTTTATTTCTTTTTTCAGGGTGCGTTTTGGGCTCTGATGTTTGGACTGGTTCTCGGGATTGTCAGACTGATTTTATCCGTGGTCTACAATGATCCGATATGCGGTGAAGTGGACACTCGACCGTGGATAGTTGGTCAGTTGCACTACATGTATTTCGCCTTCTTGTCTTTCGCTTCCACTTTCCTGGTCATGGTTGCCGTATCGTTTATCGGCAAACGACCGGACGCAGCACAGATCGTTCGACTGACTTACTTCACAGCATGGGTTCCACCTGAGCCAATTGAAGAAAGAACGAAAGAGTGGTCAGAAGAGGACATCAACACCATGAATGATACACCGGTAGGGAGCACCTTAAACGGTGAAGTCAGCGAACAGTACGTTGGAAGTGATTCGTTCAGAAAATCTGCACCGGAGAAACCGCATACGGTGACCAAAACGGACATCACTGAAACCCGTAGCTACGGTAAGCCACGTGCATATAGTTGTTACCGTGTTGACTAACTTCTTTGCGCATAGCTCTACGTTCACTGTGCGCCAACATGCGCACAATTATTTGGGTGCCCATGTGGGATTTTGTCAGCCATTTAATTACTCACTCGTGTGTAAATTTTCATGACGTGCTTGATTCCCACTAAGGATGGTTCTTCAATTACTTCTACAAACGTTTTTTTATATATTTGGCTGCAGAACAACTCCCAACTACTGGATAAAAGTGGACGTAAGCTAGCTTCTATTTTTTAAGCGATTGAATACGGACTTATCTTACCTTTAAGTAGGTTTTGAGTATGATGATGATTCTATTCCCTCCCAAATCGGCTTTATGTACCTCAACGTTACTACCACATGTGGAGTAGGATCTCTATATGCAATTATTCCCACGAAATTCGCACGCATATTGACGTGCTGATCGAGCAACCCACCTCTTTCAGATGCAAGTTAATGATCATATCACCTAATGGAAAGTCCTTCCACCTACTGCGCGGAGCGGATATTTTTGGCATCGAGGCAGGCGAACCTGCCACACGGGATACATGCTAATTTTTCTGCTTGTCCCAGTATGAGTGATTGGAGACGTTATTTGTCTAGATAACCTTATTCTGCATTCTACGTTGCACTTAGGAGGCACCGAATGGCTTCGGATAAGCGGCATAGTATCTGTCCCCCAACAGTAAACGGTCGATGATTCAGTCATCCACATTCAACACGCTAGGTAGACGTGAGATACGTCTCAGCTGTTGTGTCGCAATGCAATGAAACTATATGAGAGTAAAAAAGCACGAAAATCAACAACGGTAAAACAAAACATGAATAACAGTATGCTTCGTTTTATATTATGTGTAAGTGGAGAGATCGTGGTTGGAGACGGTGGCCAAGTGGTTTCGGACGGGAAAAAGCAATTCGCGCCACAAACGCCATTGTGGTCGGTTCATGGCAATGTCAACATGTATATGCAACTAGACGTGTTTGTCCCTTGGGCCTCAACAAGGAAGTTTGTAGATACCAACCGAGGTCAAGTACGTGGTGAGGGCCTTCACTGTTCTTGACCAAATCATCACATGGTCTCCACTCCTCTTCCAACCTCTATTCCACGGAAGTGCAGACAACGCAGGTTGCGCATTCGGTGTATCGGCATACCAAACGCATGGTTAGGCCATCAGAACCTAGTACATGATATGGAGCAATTCCCTAGCACTTACTGGGGCAAAAAAACAATGAACAAAGATTTATCATGGGTTAAAAAACAAATGCATGACAACTCTCGTAACATGGTTTGGTGGATATTATAAAATCAAAAGGTACTTGCTCCACCTACTCAGCATGTGCCGAGATAAATGCGTTGAAAATACGAGGGTAAAGCAATAGGTTTCCGGATGCACAAAAAGTTGTACTTTGTTACAAGCAAATAAGTAGTACATTTTATCGACGTATTCTCCGTCAGCATTCATACACAGTTCCATGCGTTCAAACCGTTTGGAGAAGTAACTAGACCATGCCGAAGCGGGTAACCCTTCATGCAACTCAATAAGGGCATTTACTGTAACTTCTGGAGACTCCTAGCGGATTCCACGCATCATGCACTTTATATTTGTGAACACAGGTCACAGGGAAACAAATCTGGACCGCACCTGGGTGGCCAACCCTCTGGATGCGTTCTCCAGCCAGAAAATCTGCGAAGACATGGGACCTGCGTACAGATGCGTTACCATTGTGCAGCAAGCTCCCTCTTGCTCGTGCTCTTGGACAACGCCTGGCTACAGCCTTAGGCACCTGTGGCAGACAGTGAGTGGTATACCATTCGATGGTGATTGTGCATTGGCGTACGAGCAGTACAGTAACCACACGACCTGTCTTGGCCACGAACACAGCCATCATCTGAGCCGGTGCTCCACTGCCGGTCGTCCACTGGGCCCGTTGATACGTGGTCTCTGGGTCGAAACTGTACACTTAGGTCTCATCACCACTGAGAACCTCCCAACCAGCATGGTGCGCCACCAATTCACCCGAGCCGCATTATTGTCCTTACTAAACTGCTTGATTACGTAGCGTGCGCAAACCTTTCTGAGGCTGAGGTTCCCATGTAGCATGGTGCGGATTGATCCCAATGATCTCCCGATGATTTTCCTCGGCCACAGTCCCCGCGCGTCCACCTCTGGCATCGCTCGCACAGCAGCAACATTGTTCGCTGAGGTGGCCTCCACAGGACGACTAAAGCGTGCCTCAATACCCAAAGACCGCTTGCCACACTTGAATTCCGCAAACCGCTCAAATACGGTGGTTCTTGCAGACACATCATCACCAAACGCACCACGTAATTGCTCAGCACTCTGGTGCTGCTTTAAATCACATTTGTGGTCGTGAAACATCATCGCCGTCCAGTGACATCGACTGAGTTCCATACTTACAATCCGAGTATAGCAACCCTTTTGAGTTATAGGCTTCTGTGAGTCGAAACCACTGTGCAATGTTCAGGATAAATTAAAGTTCACGCTTTTCTTGTCAGGTCATCTGTACCTAATCTTGTACTCATCATCATCATCATCATCATTATACGTTAGCTAGAGGTGGGAAACACCTCAGCTACTATGCCGTAATACACAGAAGAAAAAAGGAGAAAATGCAACTGGTTCAAGCCAGCTGAGCTACCGGTGACGGATGGGCATCGTTCCGCTAAGCTACTAGCCGGCTACTGTGCACCAAAAACATTACTATGCAAAATTATCTAAGGCTAAGTAGCGAGATCGTGGTTAGAGGGGGTGGCTAAGATGGATGGGGTGGGACAAAGAAACTTACAGCACGAACTCCACTGAGGTCGGCTCCTAGCCATATCAGCAAGTGTATCTAGCCAAACGTGTTCGTCGTCTTTCGGACCCTAACCAGGGAGCCGAGCCGCTGCAACCGAGGCCAGCTTCGAAGTGAGGGTCTTCATTCCTCTCGTCATAATCATCACTTGGTCGACTTTCCTCTTCTTCCATCCACACCCCCGGCGCGCAAACAATGCACGTCGCGGGAGTCGGTGGGCTAGAATGCGTAACACATATCCGAGCCATCGGAGCCTGGTGCGTGAAATGACGGTGCTGAGGGGTTCATTACCTTTTCCTGTGCTGTAAACAAAGCGTCGAGCACGCTCGTTACTCACGCGGTGTTCCCACCAGATGTGAGCTAAATTACGAAGGCACCGGTGGTCGAACGTTACTAGCCTCCTTATGTCCGCTGCTCTAGGGAGCCATGTATCACAACCGTACAGTAGGGTCGAACCTACCGCTGCATTGTACACTCTACCCTTCAGGGCAAGAGTGATGTCGCGCCGGCGCCATAAGTGGCGAAGGTTAGCAGAAGCGCCCCGAGCTTTTGCTATACGGCTCTTGATCTCATCTTCAATCCCACGGGCGCTGACACAACCCCCCAGGTAGTTGATTTTTTGAACGACTTCTAGCTGATCCCCACCAAGGGTTAGCGTAGGAGGCGGTCCAGACCAATCTTGGAGGAGCGCTTTGCATTTCGTTGGTGCGAAGCAAAGCCTGAACTGACAGACAGCCAGTGCTAATCTGTCCAGTGCCGCTTGGCACTTTTGTGAGCTGTCACAGATTAGGGCAATATCATCAGCATATTCTAAGTCAATAAGTCACTCTCCTGGGAACAGATCCACACCTTCCAAGTCGTGTCCTGTAAACGCGATTTCCATGACTTCGTCAATAGTGAAGTTGAAGAGGAAAGGTGACAACGGGCATCCTTGTCTCACACCGCTGGAGAAATTATACGGTGACGACAGCTTGCTTTCACTCTGCCTGAGCTGCACTCATATAATGCTCGGATAATATTTACATATTTCTCAGTACACCTTTCCTCAGCAGACAGTCCCAAAGTGCACGTCTATCCACCGAATCGAATGCACCTTTGCTATCGAGGAACACGACAAGGGTCGGCCGTCAATATATGCGACGGTGCTCCAACTACTGACGCAAAGTGAAGATGTGGTCCATGCAGCCACGACCTCGACGAAACCCGGCTTGTTCTTCGCAAATCTGGATTTCACAAGTCTCAGTCAATCTGTGAAGGATGACAGATGCAAGCAATTTGGAGGCGATGGAGATCGGACTGATTCCTCTTTGGCTGCAGCATTCCAATCGTGAGCCTCACTTGAAAATTGGGACTATGACGGAGCGGCTCCAGTCGGTTGGGACAGTATCCTCCTCCCGTAGTTTTACTAGTAACTCGTGTAACATCCACAAGAGCACGTCCCCCGAATTTGAGAGAGCTGGAGGAAGATCATCTGGTCCCGTGACTTTATTTAACCTCAACAGTTTGATCTCACGTTCGACTTCTGAGCGAGAGGGTGGATCCAAAGGGACAGCCCACGGAGCAGGGCGATCAGTGGCCGGCGATAAATCTAACAATTCCGACCGATTAAATGGCCTTTTAAAGCGCTCAGGCCAACGCTCTAAGCGTTTTGATAAGTTGTGGACAGGCTGTGCATTCGTCACGTATGGCTTCACTAACACCAGGTCTCCTGCTGTCCGTTTCCCGGATCAGCCGGAATAAGTTTCCATGGTTACCAAGGGCAGTGGCCATTTCCATCTCTGATGCATGATGAGACCACCAGAATTCGTGGTCTCTCTTCACGCTAGCACGGAATTTTGCCCGGAGCTCTTTGCGAGTTTCATTGTGTTCTCTTCCAGCCGGGATATCCGGGGAGCATCGATAAGTTCCAAAGGCTGCGAAGAGACCCAATGTCCATGTTGGCGATTAGACATACCACATGAGGATTTTCCTGCTGCTAATAATGTCTGGTGAATATGAGACCAGTGAGCTTCAATTGCATCCAGTGAGCGTTTAACCAACTCTCATGTCAGCGTATTTTGATAGGCATTCAAAACAGCTGGCTTCACCATTTGGCTGGTGTCAATGCGCTCACAACATCGTCGCGGGCGTCCGCCAAAGCGCATCCGCAGGTCAGCACATAAA